GGGTAGCCTATTATTTTAAGTATTATATATATATATATATATATATATATATATATATATTGTCCTTGCATGAGGCTTTTTAATTAATGTTTAGTAATTTCCCCATCACTATTTTCTCATTAGAATCACAAAAATGAGCGAAATTTCTCATACCGACTGCAAGTCACATCTTAAAGTATTCAATAAAATATTAAACTCACAAATTTTAAACATAGACATCGCATTAGTTTGTTTAATACATTATCACAACCGAAAAACTGACCTTTCTTTTATTTTGTTCATTTATTCTTAGTTTTAACTCATATTTAGTGAAAAGGGTTCATTATTTTATTATCTAATCATTTATTATTTTAAATATAAGAATATTTTTCCTTGCATTTTCATTTCATGTTTAGTTTTCTGTGCATATATGCAAACAGATAAATATGGAGGCAGAAAGACAGAAACTAATAAATCTGAAGAGATTATTGATGGATGTGCTTGTCCCTTTAATTCACAAATGACTGCAACAAGACATGTGACTTGAAATCAATGCAACACACAAACTGTTGTGTATTAGGTTTGTTATATAAAATGATGCAAAACAACATCTGGTCATACATGCTTGGATTGCATGTGGTGTATTTTTTTTTCATGAGAATTACAAAAATGAGTAGAAAGTTAGTACTGTACAGTACAGTACATTACATCCATTTGTTCCTGGGATGGATGTCTTTGGAGAGTGAGATAAAGCAAGAGCCCAAATGTTCAAATACCGTCACCATATGTTGTTTATCAAAGTCACATTAACCCAGAACTGTAACACAAACCAAAAGTAAATTCTGCAAACACTGCTAAAAAATTAAATCTGACAATTCTCAGAATAAATGCACTACTAGTTTTGTAGTATATACTGAAATGCATACTTAAATCAGAACCTCTACGCTATAAAAATTGTTTCTCCATTTACATGAACAACTCAGGTGTTTCAACGGCATCTATATCCAGTTGGTTTTGACCAGTTGCACAGGTAACATTTTAATTTACAATGAAAATACCTCAGAATATTGCACTAGATTTTTGCGTTTACTGGAAACAAAATCAAACCTAAATCAGTGCATCTACTAGTGCAAAATGTTATTTCTCCATCTAAATGAACTCAGGTGTTTCCACAGCATCTATGTTCAGTTGTTTTGACCAGTTGCACAGTTTCTCAGCCTCTTCCTCCCATTCAGACTCTTCAGTCTCAACTGATGGTAGAACTATCTTGATGTCCCGTTTCTCAGTTGTCACGTTCAGTTTCTTCATGTCGCGTGTGTTAATGCTGTTCATAATATGCTTCTGTTCATCTCATATCTGGAAATGGAGGGCAAACCGGATTTGGTCCCACAGAGAATTCCTATAAATCAGCATCTCCTTTCATCAGCATGTCATTTTTCTAATCTAAATAGTGTTTTCTGTCACCTAATAGAGTTTGTGTTCCTCTCAACTGTCGCATTATCACACCTTTGTATATTTTAAGTATTAGTCTGTTTTTTTTATTGTTTTTAAATTGCTGGTGTATACAGTATAGTACTGGTGTTTCATTGTAACAGCAAAAAATTCAGTGTTAGCTTTCAGCCTGAGTTACTACATTTTTTTCTGCAGTTGGCATTAAAAGTGATGGGAAACCAAAGAAACCTACATGTTTAGACAGATGCTAAAACTACATCTTAAAAGTGTTATAATAATGAAACGTACTCTTTCAGCCTCACTCAGGCCGTAGAGGCGTCTCTTGCGAGCCGCAGTGTTTTGCGAGTGGGCAGATTGTCGTGTAGAGACCCGAGAACCTCTGTATTGTGAGAAAGAAACATCAGAATTATGATAGAGGAACAGTCCACCCAAAAATGTACTCGCCCTCAGGGCATCCAAGATGTAGATGAGTTTGTTTCTTCATCAGATTTGGAGAAATGCAGCATTCCATCACTTGTTCACCAATGGATCCTCTGCAGTGAATGGGTGCCGTCAGAATGAGAGTCCAAACAGCTGATAAAAACATCAGAATGATGGATTTGTTTCTTACAAACATGCAGTTTTCACTTCTCAAGGCATTAACTGATGGACTGGAGGGGTGTGGATTACTTGTGGATTATTGTGGTTTTTATCAGCTGTTTGGACTCTCATTCTGACGGCACCCATTCACTGCAGAGCATCCATTGCTGAGACACTGATGCAATGCTACATTTCTCTAAATCTGATGAAGAAACAAACTCATACATCTTGGATGGCCTGAGAGTGAGTAAATTCAGCAAATTTTCATTTTTGGGTGAACTATTCCTTTAATCACATTTTTTATTTATATTGTTCTTTAACTTTGGCATTTGGTTTGTTTCTGGAGAGTGAGGTGTCTGATAGAGACTAATGCAAGATGAAACCGAATACCTGTGTGAGAGCTGCTGTCCAGCAAAATGAGATGTCTGAGATGCGAGATGTCTGAACAGCAGTGCTGTCTTCAACCTGCCTCTTGTTCCTGGCTTTACACCCTCTCTGAGCATGACGTCCCGGGACAGCACCTTCAGAGACAGGAACCTCCATCCGTTTTCCCTTCCCACTACACATGCTGGAAGCTCATCCAAGTGGCTGGAATACTGAGTGGGAGAAAAGGATGAACAGGCAACATAAAAGCATGATTGCGTCAATGAATTGGCCTGTGAATATAGTCTCAAGGGTGATTTTCACCCACCTGCATATAGTCTCTCATGCAAATCATCTTGTGGTTCAACAGCAGCTCTGTGAAACTTATCCATTGAAATGAGATCCATAAATGCTCTGTTTCCCATCATTCTGCAGGCGTCTGCTGTGGCCTGTTGATGCAGACATAGTGTAGTAATTAAAATGCATGCATTTTTTGCTCTCATAGTAAACAGTTATTTATTTCTGCAAAAACTAGGATGCATCAGAATAAACAGATCTGATCTTTTTTTTTACTCGAAATAAAAGAAATGATAACCGGTCAAAATATTTAAATATAATATAAAAAAATTAATATTGTTATTTTTTTTTTCTAGTTGCCAAGGCAGCATTTCTCATTTTAATTTAGTTGACTTGATAAATAACTATAACTAAAACTGAAACTAGGATGCATCAGTATAAACTGATCTGATCCAAGACCAGCCCAGGATTATTATAGTTAACTAAAACTAAAACATTAAAAAAATATATATATTTGAAAAAAAATAAATGACTAGTTGCTAAGGCAACAAGTCTTATTTTAATTTAGTTTAACTTGATAAACACCAAACTGAAACTGAAATAAAAAAATGATAAAATCTAGAATTTTAGAATTTTCAAGAATTAAAAAAAAATACTAAAAATGACAAAAACAACCAAATTGCTAAAAATTTAACTAAATCAAAACGAAAATGTAAAATATCAAAATAAAAACTAATTCGAAATATTAATAAAAACTATACTAGTATCGCAGTGATATTGAAATAACACTGGAGCAGCATTCATGACCTGGTTGGAGGGAGAAAAGACTTTTTTGCCAGACAGATAGTGTCCTCCTCCTCCAATGTGGAAAATCTTGAAGACAACTGAGGGTGAAACCAAGGACCTGCAAACCTGAACAGAAATGAAATAAACAGGAGACCGGGACTAGTCGTCCCACGTTTTGTTCCAGTTAATATTTTTCAGTGTTGGTTAAGGAGCAGGGCTGTTATTGCATCATTTCTGACTTCATAGCTTCTGGACCACCGTATAATGCTGCTTGAAGAGCTTATGTATGACATTCATCTACCTGAATCTGAT